CTACATCAAAGATTTGTAAAGTTTGGGCATATACTAGCAAGACTTGTAGAGTCTCGAATACATGCCAATGTTGTAGTTGTACTGGAACAAAAAGGACGGCTTTGAATTCTAAATATGACGGAGGGCAGATTCAAACAAGAATTGCTCCCTGGCAAGGTCGACGGTCATCCGTAAAACACGGACTAGAGACATATTAATGGATGCCAATGGATAGGCATATCGATCGAAAGAGAATGGTTGGGCGAAAGTCATGTGCAAAAGGGTAAGTGAATCGCATTGAGCACAGACAGAGGCTACATAGACGAAAGTGAAGGACATTCAAATATGTGATCATTACCACCCTCTTAAGGACAAGCTTCATCAGCATTACGACTGTTAGACTGGCCCAGACTTATGGGAGTGCGTAACTAAAGCATTAAGAGGTCCGGCAACTAGCTGACTCACATAATTTTAATTGTGAAGGATGAAATTAAGACTTCTAATCGGTGGACCGACTTAATATTGCTGATCACATCACAGGGTATCTACCATTTATATACAGCTTGAATACTACACCCATGAGTGATCTAAAATTAATTTGCAATACAAGCCCATTTGCCATGTTTTTCGAGTGGGTATGCTAATGGCGAAGATAGTTTCGCTTGTAATAGCCGCAAGAAAAGCGGCGACAGCAATGAAAGAAGTGAAAGCTTTATAAAATATTACAGATGCATGTACTATGCTAGCGACGATTGTGTGATGCGACGTCTTTGGGGCCCATGTCGTGAACACCGGATCGAATGCAAAGGATAATATTGAGAGTATGAAAATCGAGCGAGACAGTAAGGACAATGTGGAAGTTTAAATGGCGTAGTTTTAGGACGGAGACTTCAACACTTAAGAGATGCACCATTTGTAGACGCAGCCGACCAGATAAATAAAGACAATACTTCGAGGGGCGCTGGAAATTTGATCAAGTCACCGATCCGGCAGCTCGAATGGTTTGATGACTTCATTGCATTTTTCAATGGATATCGCATACTCGGCCAGCGAGTCTAGACAATACGACAGAGTTCTGCTAATTTAATAAAGCATTCATGAAAGTGTACGATCTAACTTCGGAAAGTTTTAAATGAAGCACAACACAAGAAAAGGATTCATCTTACACCAGGCAAATGGACGTAGCATACTTTGAATTTTAAATTTCCCGTGAATGTGAAACCAAATATAACAATGTGGTACGGGTGGCTAAGGCAGACCAAATTAAACAGGTATCTCAGGCAAGGCCAGAATCTCTGCGCATGTAGATAGGCACTTCCTGGGTGCAAATTTGTAGAAAAGATTTCTCCTGAATTCCGAATGGTATCGTTTCGTTTATTTGTTAGATTTGCTGCAATAATTAATTGATAGCTTTGGAATAAAGATTAATGTGAACACAACGTATCTGAACACCTGAAATTTTTGTTGTGTGTAATGAATATTGAGATTTTTACTTGCAAGAGCCCTTAAAAATATGTATCGTTGAAAAGCTCTAACGGTCTTCGACGTGCAGGCAGGTGATATAATAAGGACTTGATCATCGGATGACCTAACATGGAGATCAACACAGCTCTACCTGAACGTGCTTGTCTTACGGGATGACGGAAAATTAAGATATTGCGCTTGCAATTGTCTTCGTGGATGATGTTCTATGGGCAAAAAAACCAGAAAGAAAAGATGAAATTGCTTGAGAAGCTTAATGTTAAGTACGAATTTTAAAGAAGGTAAGCGAAAGTAGAATCTAGGCTTCACGTAAAACCAAACAACGAGAGGTTTTTTGTCGAACTACAGACTGTGCAAAGACGTTCAAAATTTTAGGAGATAAGATACACGGTTTGAGAACGCCCAGGCCGTTAAGATCCCGGTACAGACTAATTTACACATGCATGGAGTGAAGGCAACAGCAAAGTTGATACTAGATTTAACTATTATAGCGCAGTCTTTGTGCTCATAGAATTAGCAACGTGCACAAGCCCAAGATTAGCGAATGCGTTTGGACAACTAAGACGTTTATTTTAGCACCCTTTAAGCACCACCGAAAAAGCAAGTCGGGTAATAGCAATGTTTAACACTTACAAAGATTAGTACCCGAACAAAAGCTCCATTTCGAACACATTTGTCCCCTTCAGACCCCGACCCGTAATTTAGCCCAGCTTGGTCGACACCGGGTCATCAAAGCAAACACTGGTCCGGTATAAGCCGTACCGCGAAGCGTTAAATGATACACAAGGGAAAACACAAGATAATATGTCACAGCGTCCAGATCATGTCAAACGGATTATGTACTAGCAAGTGGGCTAGTGGTATCCAATCGATGAAAGCGCTTATTTTTTTTCTAAATTATCCGTTGAAGCAGTATCTTGGACCTTTAAGCGACAAAAATCACTGCTCCTTCTACAACAGATGCAGAATATGTGGCAGCGTGTGAAGATATGATGGAGGGTATGACTGAACATTTATCATCCTAAAGGTGCTGCTATACCTTAAGCTGAACGGTAAAATTGGAACTGACAGGCCATGTAGCGGAGCTAAACAGCTTCTTAATATAGAGGAAGACTTAAGGCTCAACGATCAATTTAGTTCTAATGAACTAGACTTAATGATTCAGCAAGCGTAACGCTGATGGTCCCTGTTACGGGGACGAAACGATTCAGAGAATCGAAATCACTTAGTGCACAAGAGTTACTAGCTAACTCTAGGAGGTGCTGATAACTCTTAGTGATCAGTGATCAACGACCAAAGACGCATCGCAAGGCAAGTGTCTTTAAGATCAAAAGGGGAACTGAATTTCAGTTGCATGTAACCATATAGAATATTCTAATCCTGATATTACCTAATCGAAACACTTATGTCCTAAGTTAGCACAACTAAGATTTCTCCTATCTTGTGGCTGACACCGGTCAGCCCTGTAAAACGATAAGATATTTCACATTTTTTAAAGTGGGATACCATCCGTGTCTAAGACACAAAGTAACAAGTGTTTAACTTCGTGTGATTTACTTACAGTCGTATCTTTCTTTTAACCCTAGAGGGCATATGTGGTACGATAACCAACTCAAAATGTCGAATTAGGCAACGGAATATTCCGGTATTTTTACTGTTTTGGCTCTCTCCGTGTGGGGAATGCCTCGTCTACCGATGTTTTACGTACGAGCGCCCATTCTCTGGCTCGACCACCTAATTCTGAGTTTCTCATCTTACTTGCTGTTGCTTCAATCTATGCAAAGAAGAATAACTGGTCATCTTAACCTCTTTGAATCAAAAGAAGAACTTTTTATCAATTTTTCTAAAATGGCTTGACAGTGAAGTCAGGGAGGTAGGCCTTACGCTCTATATCGCGCATGGAAACATACTGAGTAGGCATTGGCGAAGCCTAATGGTAATTTACGTGTCCTTTAAGCATTATTTAATAGTACAAAACCTCAAAGACGTACACATCTCATGTCAGGAACTTGTTCGGAATTCCAATCCACTTGTTTGTTCCTAACTTAGTCTTCGAGTTTTATTTACATCTAATACCTGAGCCTAGAAGGATTATCTTAATTTTCATCTTTAGCGAGTTTTAACCGCTCAGGTGTAGATTGATTTACAATTTCTACTGAGCGTAGCGAATCTACCCTAACTTCTTAGTCAGAGGAGAACTTCTAAACTCGTAGATATTCTCATTTGGTGCACTAAATCAAACGAAAATGAATATGAGACTTCTGAAGTCTTACAGACTTACTGAGACTTATCTGTCACTTCTTGACAAGCTCTAATCTTCCAGACCTGTTTCAAGATACTAGGACTCAAACATTTCTAACATTACTGTTATAGAGTATTTAGACGTATCTATGGCACTTTGATCTTGTGAGAAGAAAAGTATTAGAAAGACGCGTGTTTTAGACCTGTCAAAAGGGGACTAAATATATTCAGGGAATTGCTAAATTTGCACCCCTTTTCCTTAAAATCCATTTTTTCCTTTATATCTTATTTACACAAAGTACCTAATCGCCGTTGGACAAAGACGAGTACTTTCTCTGCCACTTGGCTACGGGCGACATCTCGCGCGCTGCTGTAGCTGCTGGCACCGATATAGGTAAAAAGGTCAAAGCAGTGATGGAGTCGGGCGCACTTGTGACAGAAAAGATTGTCCGTCGGTATCAAAAAAGACGCCATTAAGAGCTCGGAATGCCGTCGTGGCTTTGTTCTTGACGACTTTACACGACCGGTCGTGCAGGCCAAAAATGTGAGAACAAGAGGAGAGACAGACGAGTGTCCAGGTTTCAACGCAGCGGCTGACCATAGTTCCCTCTTTTTGTAAGTGGCGATGTGCAGCTCGATGAGATGTAGACGAAGGAAAATACCTCGGTGGATGCTGTGGTGATTATTGACGTGCCAGAAAAAGTGCTGGTTGAACGCATTGCAGGTCAACGCGTGCACTTAGCCAGTGGCTGCAGTAATCATGTCAAGTTTGCTCCGCCGAATGTGGACCATAAGGACGATATTACGGGCGAGTCGTTAATTCAGCGCAAGGAAGACAACGAAGCCACGCTTGGCTCACGTCTGGAGAAAATTTTACATGCAAACGCAGCCCGTAAGCAGACGCAGCAGGGCAAGCTGGTGGAAGTGAATGCTCACACATAAATGCATAAGGTGAAGGAGCATATCCGTAAGAGTGTCGGATTGGATTAGAGTACAGACCGCTTTGATTCGCCCCCCCTGACTGCTTACAGACATTATAGCATGTTTCTCGGACAGCCTGTCAGTTTGCTACCCTCAACCTATTGAGCATATGTTAAGTACGAGATGCATGAATATGACGTCTTCTCGGCTTGCGTGTAACGTCTTTAAATGGCTCATCTTTCCACCTCATGTCACCTTCGTCCATACCGCCAGTTGACGGTTACTGACTGCACAGATGCAGTTAATTTATAATCGACCAACTAATTGTACGAAAGGGATGTATCCAGCGATTTTGACAATAGAAAGATTCAGCGAAGATGGCCAATTCCTCGCAACTAAATCCGTTCCTGCTGGTCTTCAACGACGTCACTTGCGCTGGCTGGGCGTATGTGTTGTACCTAACAATGAAAACGGTCCTCAAGGCGCGTGAAGGTGACAATCTGGACTGGAGCCAAGTAGCACAAATCACGTGGGACGTTGTGTCACTGCTGCTTAAAGTGGTTCAGACTATGGCCGTAATGGATATCGTGCACGATGCCGTGGGCTTTGTGCGCTCCCCAGTGGGCTCTACAATCATGCAAGTGAGCTCTCGGCTATGGCTCGTCCGGTCTCTGTCTCGCCTCGCGCTAACTGTTCGGCTTCCCGCTTTTGGTGGGGCCTCGTGTAGTTGCCGCGCTACTCTTTTCATGCACTTAATTTGTACTACGCCGTACCCAGCTTCCTCTTTTTATAGAAATTTCCACTTAAAAGGAACGGGCAATCAATTCGGCGTGAGCTGGTCTGGCGTTGGCGCTATTCCCAACCTTTGGTACGTTTAAGGCACCTCGATCACATTTAAGGTAGACACGCTTTCCTGCAATCGAACTTTTAATCGTAACAGCATCGCCTTGACCACGTGCGTACGTCTGCACGGTATCCAAAAGTTGCTCCCGACTGGCGTACTCAACCTCGGGAGGAGAAAGCATGTTATTGCGTACTGCCCTGTCAGTAAACGCTGGAGGAGCTAGACCACAGGCGTGAGTAGTATCTTAGGCATTTTTAACGTTTTACTTGCCAATTAATGGCCTAGATTATCGAGTAACATCTTTGTCAGAAAACAAATCTTAAATTGAAAAGGAAAAAGAATTACATATATTAGATTTTGAAAGAAGGGTGTAAATATAAGGAAAAGGGGTGTGAATTTAGCAATTCCCTATACTATTTAAGTTACATTATCATTTAACATCACTTGTATCTTTAATCTTAAACCATACTACCTTATAGAATAGTCCTCGTGAGGAGTTTTCTGGTGTACCAGACCAAAAAAATTTTCTTTTTAAAGACCCTAGTATTATACATACCATCAAACCATACCCGATAGGGTATGGTCTAACCTTGTAGGGTACGTGATACAAAAGTACAACATACCAGTGACACTGAACTTTAAATGTGTGTATCGTACCAGTATACATGGATTTCACAATAGTATGTGTATTCCCGTTTGAATGTCGATGCTTGTGACGTATCCAAGTGAGTACAACCCACAACAGTTACCATATCGAAAGCAGGGACTGACATAAGCTATTAATTAAATAGGTACGGTCGATTTATCATCATTATTCATTTAATTTATTCTATAATTTTGTTGTCACAAGTCGACACGATTGTACAAAATTGCCCTGGTAGCTGCATACACGTCAGTGCATCAAGAATTTTGTGCTGGTTAATACCTCTTTAAAACCAATGAAGAGACCAAAACACAAAACTTCAATAGCTTTTTTAAAGCTTTCTTCTACAATCACAAGATTTAATGTTTGATCGTTAGAATATGTCTTTCAATGTCGGCGTCTTTTTTGCAGCACATTTGGAATGGCAAAACAAAATAAAACTGACGAAAATCGCTGACATGAGCATCGATCATAAAGAAAGGTCATATCTTGGAGCTGACAAAGTACGATGCAATTAGCGAGACTAAATAAACGCTCTACTATTTTTGAAATGACAAAGTACGTAATGAGAGTAATTTGACTCAACTAAAGACTAAAACAAAGTTTTAGTCATACATTCAACGAGAGCTTCAACATGTATTTTAACAAAAGTTATAAAGAGGCTGCGCATCTTTGTCTAATCATAACCGAGTCAATGTATGCTAACTTTGGCAACACAACGGCTCGCAATCGAATTATCCGGTTCAAGATTTGATAAGTTTGGCACCACAACGTCTCGCAAGGAATGTGATTTGTATTGCTCTGTACGTACTAAGTGATTTATGCGTGTTATAAGTGCGTGTGGACATCTACATATCCGTGTTCACATGTAGCTTGAAGTGCGAACAGCTATGTCCGCGGATTCTTATCGATCAAAATTAACTTAAAGTGTTCTAAGGTTTGTGTGTGCTCCCTAAAACTTTTCGTTCAGAGTTCATATATCGTGTTTATAATTCGTACTTCGGCTCCATATTTTTTGCGGTTTCAAAAAGCTAATACCTAGCACTTCTAATCATCAATTTTAATAATTTTGATGGAACAATTCACGTTTTACTTATATTGAAAACCGTGATGCATACCAATTATCTGAAGTTGTATTCATTTCTTACGACATTAGAACAAACATCATTTTTGCGCCTACTTATAATTAGTCTACACCTACCTCGCGTCAGGTACTACAATACGTCGACATCTACATCCTCTCATTATCCACAACAAAATGCATAACAAATTAGTAATTTAAGGTATTGAGGAGCTTCTTAGTGCATGGTGTTCGTCTTTGTAGGAAAGTGTTAGCTTTAAACTATGGTAACGTTTTCTATGCCAAAAACGGCCCTTCATTTTTTGCAAGGTAATTATGTCTATGGTCGACTTACCTTGGTGCAAAGCGACGTGTGCAGTAGGTAAACCTAATTACAAATAAACGAAGCCACCTCTTAGCACATAAAGATTCTCTTATTTGATAAATAGCGTCAATCAGCACTTCTTTTCAAATACAACGCGATGTTGCAAATTTCTGCATGCTTTATCGAGTCGGAAGTTTGTGCAGCGAGCACGCACTCGTACAAACTATAATGCAGCTTTTACTTTATCACATGTCCATAGATTGAAGCTATTAGTGGCTGTGTGCACATGTTGAATGTTAAGCTTTTCAAGTGTACTTATCTGTGTGTCTGTGTGTCTTAAGATACCGCGGCTAAGTTTACTTTCACGTATTAAGTGCGATCTAGCATTTGTCCACCACAGGTTGATTTGTACGATAGGTGTCACTCTTAAAGTAGGCATTGATAGCGGCCGCGAAAATCGTAAATACCTTCGACTAAAGCACGCATGTGCATAAATCCAAAGTCGTACGAAGCCAAAATACAACAGTGATACTTAAAACGATAATGCACGGCTCCTTGGAGTTCAAAGTTGCTGCATGTCTGACACAACAGAATCAGCATCTCCCTTAGCATCTCTACTACCAATTGCGTTGCAGCTTTCAGGTTACCCATCCACTAGAACTAGGAATGGGAATAAGACTTCCTCCTGTAGATACTCCGAAGTCTCTGGAGTCGCCAAGGAGTAAACTTCGATGCTAAATTGGTGTCGCGCCCAAAGTTTACGCACCGTAAGTGCCTGCTCATCAAGTGATACTGCTAAAAGTAATTTTCGAGGACAGGCGGAAGCAGGCAAGTTGACAAGATCTGATAATAATTTTTTTTCACGCATACCGTGTATTTCTATTGCATTTTTTGTAGATAAATTGAGGTTTTCTGGTGTCATGAAACCTTGTTTACGAGTAAACGATTGTAATTTTAATCGTTTCAGAATTGTGTCAAAAAGCGTTGGACCTTATCGTTTAATTTTTGGATGAAGAAAATCAAGAACTATGCTGTATCTATAATCGATAAAATTGTAGCAATGAGAGGTAGGAGCGCAGCAAAAAAATTGTCTCAAATGGCGACCTCGCCTTTCTTACGACAATCTAGGTATGTCATTATTGATCTCCTAAACATGCGAATGGTACAATGCTGCAATCCGTTTTCATAGTACGGATTGTATACCTTTCCCTCGACATTGTCAAGATAGCGTCGCAAGCCGATAAACTGAAACAAAAGCTAAATCTTTAGCTAGACAGGCTTATAGCAGTCAAGGTTTGGTTATGCTTGATGTATCTGCAAGTATTATTATTTTTATTTAATATGATGTAATGTTCGATTAGCGACCTCTGCACGCCGCAAAACTAGTACAAATGTTGAAACTCAGGTTAGGTGTGTCCGACACATGCAATACACAAACATACTTTTCGATGTCTATATTCCGAACTTATTGTATTTATAAAACACTTTGTGCCGTTACTGGACTCGATTGTAAATTCGAAGTTTGTGTTTCTCTTCGTACTACAAGTTTAGAAGATCAGCAAAAACGCACAAGTCTGTAAAAACCGAAGGCAAGAATTTAACTTGACGAAAATTATACAACCGTACCGTTTTCGAAAAGGTTTCGAAGACCAAATATCTGAATTATTTCGATGCGCATAAAAGGGCCCATTTATAAGCAAGTTTGTGCCGTAAAGCCATGCGAAGGTATCACTTTGACATGCTTAAGTACAACCGAGGTCATTGTTTAAATTGTCGTGATCTATGTCCCAAGACCAACGTGAACTAATCTTCACTAAATTATGATTTTCATTCGCTGCAAGACATGTTTGCGATGCTGCAGTTTGCATGCATTAAATTTTTTACAATTTATCTCAAAGATTGTCAGAATATCATCGAGGTTGAAATCTTTCAATGGTTTAATAAAGACTGCTGTTGCTTATTCCCTCTGTGATGTCTGTTTTAGTCTAAAGATGGTTAGAATAATCATCGCATTCGTGTTGCCAACTTTTGACCATAATCTTCAGCTTGTATCAACAAAGTTCCCCATCTAGCTAAAAAGGTCTCCTTTGTTATTGGGAGGCGTGATGGCCAAGACAGTACGTCCTTCGATCGAAAGGATTATAAAGCACGAGTAAAGGAGGTTAGGAGATTTTCAATACAACCACTCAAAATTTGTGTGGTAATATATGCTACCTTAAGCAAAGACAATTGCAGTTTGCTATCTAAAATGACGTATAATTATAGACTTCCTAGGTAGAGTATCGGAGATGATGGTACTGTGGAGGTTGATGAAGGTCCTAACCCCGTCGGTGTTAATGACGGAGATGAAGCGCCAAATCACTCGTTTCTTTTAGGATACTAAAAATGAACCTCTTAAAGATACTCATTTGCATCGCGCTTTTGCATGGCCCACTTCTGAGTCTTAGTCGATCAGCGAGTTTAGGGCACCTTTAATAGCCGCTATGGTGTTTGTTACATTACTTTCTTTTGGATTTGCAGACTTTAAAAAAATGTGATCGCTAGTTGCCATATCTTAGACTGAAGCAACTGCTTACCTACTTCGTTTTGTCGAATTAAGTCTCCTTAAAGCAAATGTACATCCTTCTTTTGCGGAGCTCATCAATAATGATTTGGACTAACGACAGGATAAGACGCCATCAAACGCTATCCTAATCTACATTTTTCTTATCGATAATACTATAGATTCAGCTCCAAAAATTACCAAATTACGCTGAACGATGAATGACAATTCTTTGAATAAATTGATAAAAAATGTCACAGCTTATTCGGAGAATTTTATTGGCTTCGACGCCTCTGGTACCATCGACGTCAAAAAATGGCAGCATTTTCAGAAGGGTGCGGTACCGCGTTTCTTACGTGTAGCTTTGACAACTACTACT